CCTGTGCCCCTCATGCCTCCCAGAATATAGTAAAATCTTACTTGTGTTCGAGTCTGCATCTGCTTACTTTGTCCCTGTTTCCTTCAGACCTGCCCACGGCCTGCTGACATCAGCAGAAGTGGTAGCCTGGTCCAATCACAATGCTTCCCCATAGGATTGGTTGAGACTGACAAAGAGGCAGATCAGGGGTAGAGCCAGCACAATTCAAACACAGCCCTGGCCAATCAGCATCTCCTCATAGAGATTAATTGAATCAATTAATCTCTTTGAGGAAAGTTCAGTGTCTTCATGCAAAGGGTTGGAGACACTAAATGTTTGGATGCATTTTAGGCAGTCATGACCCAGGAAGGATCTCTAACAGCCATCTAAAGAGTGGCCAGTGAAGTTATCACTAGGTTGTAATGTAAATACTGCATTTTCTCTGAAAAGAAAGTGTTTGCAGCAAAAAGCCTGAAGGTAATGATTCTACTCACTAGAACAAATACAATAGGCTGTAGCTGTTCTGGTGACTATAGTGTCCCTTTAACAATAAACAATTATATACCATATACACAACAGAGTGACTTACACATAAGAGACTTCAAGTAAATCACAAGTGGTGTCAAACATACTTACACAGAGATCCATAATTCCCAACAGCAAATGCATCCAAATATGTTCCTAGCCCAAGCTGTAGCAACTCTGGGAACATGGAGGCCAACAGTTACTAAAATAGCTGTCAGAGAGAAGGCCAGCATTTATATAGCCTCAGTGATGGTGACTATTGTCACATAGTTGTAATCTACATGGTTTTATGAATGACACATCATGTCAAACTAACATGCAAAATTAATTGCATTCTATGAAGAAGTCAGAAGAAGTAAAGATCTGGAGGCTAATTAATTGGTTTTTGCTAAGGCATTAGTTATGGGTCAACACAAAAGGTTATTGTATAAATTAAAATGCCAATTAAAATTAAAATGTTTGTCCTTGAGTTGCACGTTGGCTTATTTGAACATTTTCAATATGGAAAATTCCTGAAAGTTTGTTCTGGGTATGTCACAAGGAGCTAATGTCAAGGAAGATAGTGAAAGGCCAACCGGTAACCCAAAGAAACCAATCTCAAGATCCACGGGTCCAAGAAGGACTCCATCCAAGTGTACCTGAAGAACTGCAAATACTCCCCCACACACAAGCAGCTCAGGAACATCTCCATGCAGACTCTCTAGTGGCAGAAATGTTCTTAGTCTGCTTTTCTTTCGTCTTAGAAGAACAACTTGAATCTACTGGGGCTTGAGGACTAAAAGGAAGCAGAGAACTAAAAGGAAGCAGCAGCGTTAAAAAAAGGACATATACTAAAGCACAGTATTTTTTAATATATTTTGAAATATACTTGTTAATTAATCTCCAAAGCCAAGCTTCCAAGAATGTTAGCAGAATATATGCAGTGCTCAAATAAAATATATAATGTATTACATTAGTTAGATGTCATCAGTGCTGGGGAGTATGTTGGCTGTATAAATATATAAATATTGAGAAAAATTTGCATTGGATTGATGGTTCACTGTTATTGCAAACTTTGTATTAATAAATCAAATAATTTAATCTCTAAATTGGCCTCAAGTAGTATTGCATCTCAAATCAGACCTTGTATTCTTCAGCATGAGTTTTCTTTAATAATAATTTGCATTGTGTAGGTATTGGAAATTATTCTGTGATTTGCCAAATGAATGCTGTAAATGCAGGAGTACCCTAAAACACGCTAATGATTTGTACAACGAAAATTTGGGGTAACCATATAACAAATTATACATTGTGATAAACTTACTTCCCTGTGTGTGTTAGTCCAGGATCTTTTGGTATAATACAATACCTTTACAAGTCAGGAGAGAGATAACCACTCCCCCCTTTCTCCATTCCTCTCTGTTCCTTCTTGGCTGTGCTACAGAGCAGATGTGCAGACGCCATGTGTTAGCATGGTGAACCATGTTACACTCTGTTGCTTCCTTTTCTTCCTTGGCGGATGTGATGTTGAACTTGCAGCAGTGAGCCATTACTAGATGTGAAGGCCTAACCGTGGGTGAGATCAAGCGTGTGTTTAAGGGGTTACTATATAGATAGATAGATTTAAAAAGGGTTGTTGCTCCGTGGGTCTGGGCTGTGTGTTTGTGATACATTTATAATATTGTCTTGTTGCCTTTTAATAAATACCTTTTAATGTAGACGAACCATGTGTAGTATATATATTAATTTGGTGATACACCACAGCATAGAACGCTGTAACGGCTTAAGCCCCCAGGAGGTCCACGGTACTTACCTCCACCGCGATCCTCTTTGGGAGGACTGCCTGACAGCCCAGTCAGCCCTCCGATGGCAAATTAGGCCCCTGGGGGCTATGTGATCGCTCTCAAAGAGCGATCACATGGCCCCCTATATAATTATTAATAATAATTATTAAACATGTAAAATAAATTAAATGTATATTTTTATATATATATATATATATATATATATATATATATATATATACACAAATGTATATAAAATATAATAATATATATACATCTTATTAGAGCTGAGCGAACCCGAAAAAGGTTCGTACCTAACATTACGGTTTTTGTACCCCTGACCCAAACATGGACATATCAGTGTATGTTCGGGTTGGAGTTCGGTGTTCAGAGATTTAATGGCGCATTTTGAAAAGCTGCAGCCAATCAACAAGCATTTGACTCGTGTGCCTTTAGAAGCCATCACAGCCATGCCTACTAATGGCATGGCTGTGACTGGCCAGTGCAGCATGTGACCCAGCCTCTATATATAAGCTGGAGTCGTGTAGCGCCGCACGCACATGAGCTCTTATTACTGTAGGGAGAAGATGCTGCAGCTGTGAGGAAATAATTCTGGTGTTGAATCTGCAAACTACAGCGATTATTTTTGTGGGTGCTATAATACTACATTTTTGTACCCTCCCCTGAGCCCAGTGCCACAGAGAGTGCAGTGCACTTGCAGCTGCATGTGTGCCAGGCACATTACTTTAATCCTGTTATGGTAGCTCAGTGGGCAACATCTAGGCATTTTTAAATACTGAAATTTTTGGGGTGGTAAATAGTACATTTGGGGCCTGCACTTCATATCTGAGAGTCAAATAGAACCGTCAAATACTGTGCTTACATTGCAGTTTGCCTAATTCAAATTTTTTTTCATGCTAAAAAGTACATTTGTGGCGTGCACTTCATATCTGAGAGTCAAATAGAACAGTCAAATACTGTGCTTACATTGCAGTTTTAAACATTCAAATTCTTTAGGTGCTAAAAAGTACATTTGTGGAGTGCACTTCATATCTGAGAGTCAAATAGAACCGTCAAATACTGCTGTGACATAGCAGTTTTACAATTTTGAATTCTTTAGGTGCTAAATTGTACATTTGGGGCCTGCACTTCATATCTGAGAGTCAGATAGAACCGTCAAATACTGCTGTGACATAGCAGTTTGCCTAATTCAAATTTTTTGGGTGCTAAAAAGTACATTTGTGGAGTGCACTTCATATCTGAGAGTCAAATGGAACCGTCAAATACTGCTGTGACATAGCAGTTTTAAAATTTCAAATTCTTTAGGTGCTAAATTGTACATTTGGTGCATGCACTTCCTATCTGATAGTCAAATAGAACCGTCAAATACTGTGCTTACATTGCAGTTTTAAACATTTAAATTTTTTTGGGTGCTAAATAGTACATTTGCGGCCTGCAGTGCACTTCATATCTGAGAGTCAAATAGATCCGTCAAATACTGCTGTGACATAGCAGTTTTAAAATGTTGAATTCTTTAGGTGCTAAATTGTACATTTGCGGCATGCACTTCATATCTGAGAGTCAAATAGAACCGTCAAATACTGTGCTTACAGCGCATTTTTAAACATTCAAATTCTTTAGGTGCTAAATAGTACATTTGGGGTGTGTACTTCATATCTGGTGTATGTGTGCAACACTGGCTAGTTACCGCTTCTCAAGAAAGTCTAAAGATTTTTTTAAAAAGTGAAAAATAAGTGTTATTGTGATCGCTTCATATACAGAAGCATTAATATACATTTCTATATTGTGTAAAGACACAACTAAGTTAAAAACCAAACACCAAAACAACGTGCCAGACAATCTACCTGTGCATGGCTAGTGTGATACAATAAGTCTACATCTTAAAAATGCAATAACCCACAGAAGATGGGCGAGAATTATTTTTTGCAAATGGAACTTTGATTCGAATTTACTACATCGGTCACTTGTAATATTGTTTCACACCTACAACACTTGTTAAACAGATCTAAGTCATAGAAAACAGATTGATATTTTCTACACTAGAAACTACCAGATAACAAGCTGCTATATTTAAACCAGTTATCAATAGCTAAGCGGTACTTAAACAATATTGTAATTCTGGGGCAAATCAAACTGAGAGGTCAGTTTATAGGGAAAACTGTTGCCTGGATACAATTCTAAAACAATTTCCATGTGCCCTTTGCAGACTTTACATGCTGGAAAAACACAGGTGCCAACTGCTGTGACTTTCTGCAGTGTGCAGACCGGCAAGGAGGGCAGGGTTGAGGAGTGGGTGAAAGATGATGTGGAGGATGATGAGGTCCTAGAGCCCACATGGAATCAAGGTCATGCGAGTGACGTGTGCAGTTTGGAGGAAGAGGCGGTGGTCGCACTGATGGACCAGCACAGCCTAAGAGGGAGCAGGGTGCAAAAGCGGAGCGGCCGTCCCCTACCACTCATCAGCATGTATTAGCTCTAGAATTACAGTTATCCAAGTAACAGATGGAGCGATCAAAGGAACCATAACTGATTTAATGAGCCATTCGCAGTTTCACTGTAGCGGCTCTGCGCGCTTTCAGTGTTCTCACCCTGCTGCTGCTCACCTGTCTGTGCTGCAGCGTAACTTCGGCCTTCCCACTCACCGCCTCATATGCGACGTGCCCACAAGGCGGAACTCCACCGTGGAAATGCTGGAGAAACTGTGCGAGCAGCAGCAGGCGATAGCGGAGTTTCAGCTGCAGCACGCACGGGTCAGTCGCTCTGCATTGCCCTCCAATAGATCCTCGTTAAAGGATTTAAAGTGCACTCATTCCAATTTATCGTCACTACCTCCCCGCGTCTGGAGTGGGTAATTTGCGTGCCTGCTGCCTTCCTTGGATGTGGTAGGCTCCCTCTCCAGAATCGAACCCTGATTCCCCGTTACCCGTGGTCACCATGGTAGGCAGAGAAAGTAACATCGAAAGTTGATAGGGCAGACATCGGAATGCGTCGTCGCCGCCACGGTCACTGCCTCCTCAACCTCCTATTCCACATCCACCTCCTCCTCCTTGAGCAGGGTGCAAAAGTAGAGCAGCCATCCCCTAGACAATACGCCTGCTACTGCCCACCGCACCCAGGAACTGAGCACACCAAAGCCAGCTCCAAGGAGTTCCCTGGCGTGGCAGTTCAAATGAGGAGAACCCAGTCGATTCCTGTGGCACCTCCCGATAGGCAAACAGGAGATGGGACAGGAATCTCTCTCAATCCTTGTGAGTCGCCGCAAAGGTATGGAGCATTTGCTTCAACGTCCCGTTGAAGCGCTCACACAGGCCATTGGTCTGGGGGTGGTAAGGGGAGCTCAGGCTTGGTTTACTGTGCACAATTTCCACAGTTGGTGAGTCATTTCGGCAGTAAACTGGGTGCCCTGGTCTGAGAGAATCTCCTGGGGAAAACCCATCTGGGAGAACACTCACATCAAGGCTTCAGCCACAGTCTCTGCCTGAATACTGCTCAGGGTACCGAGTCACATAGTCCACGAAGGTCAGAATGTACTTCTTCCCAGAGGGACTAGGCTTGGCTAGGGGACCTATAATGTCGACAGCTACTTTGCTGAACGGATCTTTACTAAAAGGTAGGGAATGGAGGGGGGCCCTGTGCCGGTCCCTTCTCTTCCCCACTCTCTGGCAGACATCTGGCAGTACTGCCTCAGATCCTGAGAGATGCCTGGCCAGAAGCTTTGGGTGAGCCAAGACGCTGTCCGGCTCCTGCCCAAATGTCCTGCCAAGGAGATATCGTGAGCTAGCTTCAGTAGCTCATACCAATACTTCTTGAGTCTGGGGCTGGTGGTCTCTCACCAGCTGTGTTGTTGGGGAGCCCATTGAAAAAGTGCTCTAGCATGACGAGCTGGGTGATCTGCTCCGGGAACTTGGCTTGATGGGAGTTGAGCCAGTTTTGGATAGCCCTTGTGATGTGGCAACCCCACACCATGCAGGAGCTGTGGACAGGCATGGAACAACAGACCGATGAGTGGTTGTTGCCTCTGAGCCTCAAGCCCGGCCTGGTGGTGTGCGATAATGGGCGAAATCTCGTAGTAGCGCTGGGCCTAGCCGGTTTGACGCACATCCCTTGCCTGGCGCATGTGCTGAATTTGGTGGTGCAGAAATTCCCGAAAAACTACCCAGATATATCAGAGCTGCTGCAGAAAGTGCGGGCTGTCTGTACGCGCTTTCAGCGTTCTCACCCTACTACGGCTCGCCTGTCTGCGCTGCAGTGTAACTTCGACCTTCCTGCTCACTGCCTCATATGCGACGTGCCCACAAGGTGGAGAGACTGTGTGAGCAGCAGCATGTGATAGTGGAGTTTCAGCTGCAGCATGTACGGGTCAGTTGCAGCACGAGTCAGCAGCAGGCGATAGTGGAGTTTCAGTTGCAGCACGCACAGGTCAGTCGTTCTGCGGAACAGCACCACTTCACCATCAATGAGTGGGCCTCCATGCGAGACCTGTGTGCCATGTTACGCTGTTTTGAGTACTCCACCAACATGGCCAGTGCCGATGACGCCGTTCTCAGCCTTACTATCCCGCTTCAATGTCTCCTTGAAAAAATGCTTTGGACGATGATAGAAGAGGATGTGGCACAGGAGGAAGAGGAGGAGGAAGAGGGGCCATTTCCACGGTTATCAGGCCAGTCATTCACAAGTGGCTCGGAGGGTGTGTTCCTGCACCAGGTACACAATTGTCCAGCATCTCCACACTGTCCCATGTAAGCGTTCAGCTGTCCATCTCCCAAACACTGGAGGGAAAGGAAGTACCCCCCTACCCACTCGCGATCCCTGGCCCTTAAATGCCAGCATTTCAAAATTCCTGGCCTTTGAAATGCTGTCATTCTGTCTGGTGTAGACGGACAGTTTTAAAAACCTGATGGCGTTATTGGACTGCAAAAAATGCATCGCAGGCCGCAAATGTTTCTTATTTTATATGTCCCAATATTTTGGGTGCTACCCCAATTAAAAAAAACAAAAAACAAAAACAAAACAAACAAATAAAAAAGTGTTGGCTACCTCTTCCTCCTCCACCACCTCTTCCACCGCCTCTTCCACCTAGACCGCCACAGTCACCGCCTCCTCAACCTATGGGTCACTTAGTATAAACTATGTACACAATAGCAGAGGCTTGTGAAGGCCTTTTCTCCATGCATCACGAGTTGAGCTCAGTTTGAACAATGAAAGAGAATACCCTGCACTCCAACCCTCTCTCAAATGGATAAATCTGGTGATCCCCCTGACAGCCATGCTTTAGATTTTGATTTATGTTCTTCCAAAGCTAAAATCAAAGATTCCATCTAGTGCTATTTTATGGCTCAGATGTATTTTTAATTTTTAGGTATTTAAAGGACCACTCTAAACACCCAGACCACTTCAGCTTAATGAAGTGGTCTGGGTGCCAGGTCCAGCTAGGATTAACCCATTCTTTTATAAACATAGCAGTTTCAGAGAAACTGCTATGTTTATGAATGGGTTAAGCCTTCCCCCTAATCCTCTAGTGGCTGTCTCATTGACAGCCACTACAGGCGCTTGAGTGCTTCTCACTGTGATTTTCACAGTGAGAGCATGCCAGCGTCCATAGGAAAGCATTGTCAAGGCTTTCCTATGCGACCGTCTGAATGCGTCGCAGCTCTTGCCGCGCGTGCGCATTCAGCCAACAGGGAGGAACAGAGGAGGATCGGAGGCAGAGAGCTCCCCGCCCAGCGCTGGAAAAAGGTAAGTTTTTAACCCTTTCCCCCTTCCAGAGCCGGGCGGGAGGGGGACCCTGAGGGTAGGGGCACCCTCAGGGCACTATAGTGCCAGGAAAACGAGTATGTTTTTCTGGCACTATAGTGGTCCTTTAATGTTATTTTAAGTGATTTTTCTATCCACATTTGTTTGCAGGGCATTTGTTCTACTCTTATCCCCATTTTACTTCCTTTTGCAGCCCTCTAGTCCTTTCCAGGACTTTTTTAGAGGCATTTCAGTGCCCAAAAGTTCAGGTCCCCATTGACCTCAATGGGGTTCGAGTTTGGGGTCAAGTTCGGTTCAAGTTCGAGCCCGAACTCGAACTTTTTGACGAAGTTCGGCCGAACTCGGCTAACCCGAACATCCAGGTGTCCAGGCTCAATTCTATATCTTATATTTCCTGGCCATATCCATGGCAGCACAACAATGGGTAGCTCCTCCCCTATCCCTAGTTAGACAGGAACTAATTAAAATAAGGGTACAAATACCCCCTCCTACCTCCTCCTCCCTCAGTCTTTTTGTTCCTGTCCTATCCCTATAGGACCAAATTAGTCTATTTTCAGGACTATAACCACTTTTCTTTTATGGCTTACCTGAGGGTTTTTACCTTCTGTCCTCAAGGAAGTTCAGCCTCTCTTCCTTGGGAAGCTTCAGTATCCGGCCCTGTGCAAAGGTGTCCCCCTGAAGATACCCCCTTAGTGACCGGGGGTTTTACTTGCAGTGACCCTAGGGGTAGCAAGAGAAAAAATGCCAAATAACTCTGATTCCCTGCAGTGACCAAGAGGTAGCAGGAAGTGGCAAGAAGACTTTATCCTGGATGGATTTCTGCATTTTACAACAGCCCACATGTATGTATGTACAAATACTTTTTACAATATATACTGTATTTGTTAGATCATATGTGTGGGTTTTTTCCCCCCCCTACCTATTATTTCTGTGTACTTTTTCTTTCACGCCTTCTCGGCGTCCTGTTTGTCCGGGTGCGCATGCGCGCCGTTTCGCGCGTGCACGTTTGTATCGCGTGCACGCTAGCTTCATTCGCGTGCACGCCGGGTCCGCGCGCACGCTATACACCGCGCATGCGTCTGGTCCCCATGAGGCAGTTACAGTGCCTCCTACTCCGGAGTAGCTTCCGGGTTTGTGCCGCGCATGCGCAGTTAACGAGCAATGAATTCGCTCGTTTTGAGCATGCGCGGATAGGCGGTGATGTCAGATATGACGTCACACGCCTATTTAAGCGCCAAAGTTGAATTAAATTATTACCTGATGTCCTCATTAGGTCTTTAGAGGACCTGTTTTCTTACAGTTCTCAATTTGAATTGCGTTTATATTTTACTGAAAATCTGAAGGTAAGCTTTACTTCTTAAAGGTATATACACATTTTTTTCATTTCTTTACTCCTTTCTTTCTATAACAATAAGAATTCCTTTTTTAGACTGTTCATAATCAACTCCAAAATGGAAAAAGACAAAAGGAGATCAATTTCTTCTGATTCGGACTCTTCTGGATATAAAAATAGGTCACACTCTAAGAGTTATAGGTAAGCCATATCACATCATTTTTTTCCCTTATCCGGAATATGATACATGAAATAAAAGAGTGCTAATGTGAGATATTTCCCTATCATGATAGTTCTACGGGAAAGAAAACAGTGAGATCATCCAAAGGAAAATCTCCAAAGAAAAATCAATGCGAAGCCTGTAATAAGAAACCGCTGGAAGGCAAACGGTTATGCGCAGAATGTTTATCTGAAGCAGCTGGAACATCTAATCCTTCAATGGAATTTGTACAGTTCATAAAACAAGCGGTGGCTCAAGGTATCAAAGAAGCAGGGGCAAGTCACAAAAGACCCCGGTTACATGAACCTTCGGATTACCAACGTAATGATTCGTCAGATGAATCCATGGATATGGAATCATACCAGGGGAATTTCTTATCTTCAGACGAAGAAGAAACTCAGGCCCCTGCAGATTTTTTAGAACCTGCTCAGATAGACCACCTCATTTACAAAGTCCGTAAATCTTTGAGCTTGAAGGAGGCAGTTGCAGAGCAGTCAACCTCTTATCGTTATTTCTCAGATTTGAGAAAGAAAAGAGCTACCTTTCCAGTACATGATACTATTAAGGAATTAATTAAAGACGAGTGGTCTAACACAGATAAGAAGCTTTCAGCACAAGGCAGAATATCTCGCCTCTATCCTTTTGACAAGTCTGATTCATACCATTGGGATAATGCCCCTAAGGTAGATGCGGCAGTAGTTCGACTCGCAAAACACACCACATTACCAGTAGATGATGCAGGCTCATTTAGACACCCAATGGACAAAAAGATGGATCTGCATCTCTCAAAA